TGGTGAAGTCGGTGTTTTTAGGGTCTTTTGGTTTTAGTGTACAAGTTTGGTTGTAGTGTAATTTGGGTTTGTGTTTTTGTGTAAGCTTTTGTGTTTTTAGGTAAGTCTGTGGTTTTTTGTGGTAAAGAAAATTGTGTGTTAGTTGTACAGTTTTTGCCCGTGTGTGTGTACCTGGGGTTTTTGTTTTTTGTATATAGTGTACATTTTTTGGTGTTAGTGTACAGTCGTGTGTTTAGTGTACAGTTTGGGGTGTGTGTATTTTGGGGTGTTGTTTTTGTGGTGTGGTACGTCTTTTTTTTTTAAGGGGGTTCTGGGTTGGTTAAAAGTGTCGTTGGTGTGTGTAGTGTAATTTTCTGTGTGTGGTGGGGTTAAGTTGTGTGAATAGTGTCAGTTGTGTGTGTAGTGTAAGTTGTGTGGTGTTGTGTAAGTTGGTTGTTGTAGTTTTTTAGGTCGTCTTTTGTTTTAGTGTCGGGTTTGTGTTTGTTCGTTGGGAAAGTCTGTTGTTTATTCTCGGGTTTGAGTTGGTAAACTGTTGTTGTGTAGTGTACAGTTGTGTGTGTGGTGTCAGTTGTGTGTGTTATTGTAAGTTTTTGGGGTTTGTTTTTAGTGTACTTGTGGTGGTAGTGTACAGTCTTTGTTGTTATAGTGTACAGTTGTGTGGGGTAGGTACGTTTGTGTGTGTGTGACAGTCTTTTTTTGTATTTAGGGGAACATTTCTTGTGTGTGTAGTTTAAGTCGTGTGGTGTTACTCTTTTGATTTTTTTTTTTACAGTTGTTTTTGTTTGGGGACAGTTGGGTGTTTTGGGTATGTACAGTTGTGTGTTTTTTTTGGGGTTTTTACGTCTTTTGTGTTGTTCCTGTTGTTGTTTTTTCATTTCTGTGTTTTTTAAATTTGTACAGTTTGTGGGGTTTAAGGTAAAGTCGGTGTGTGTAGTTTTACTTTCTGTGTTTTATTAGTGACGTTGTTGTGTTTTGTAATTTGGGTTTTTGTGTAAAAGTGACAGTCTGTGTGTGTGTGGTCATCTGTGTGTGTGTTTTTTACAGTTGTGTGTGTAATTGTGACAGTCGGGTTTTGTTTTGTGGTAGGTACAGTCTGTTGGGTGTGTTTACGTCTGGTTTTTTTTTGGGTGTTTAAAGTCTGTGTGTGTGTGTTTTCAGTGTTGTGTGTAGTGTACAGTCTGTGTGTGTGTAGTGTAAGGGGTTGGGTATATAGTGTAATTGGGTGTTAGTGTACTTTTTGTGGTTTTTTGTAAAGTCCCTTGTTGTTGTGTGTACACTGTTTTTTTTTGTAGTTTTTTAAACAGTCTGTGTTTTGTGTATTTGTAAGCTGTGTGTTGTAGTGTACAGCTTTGTGGTTTGTTACAGGTCTTGTGTTGGGGAGTGTAAAGTTTGTGTTTTAGTTACAGTTTGGGTTTTTGGTTTTTAGTTAAGTCTGTTGTTTTAGTGTACAGTTAGGGGTTGTTAGTGTACAGTATGTGTGGTAGTGTACATTGTGGTTATGTGTACAGTCTGGGGGGTGTGTAGGGTTTACAGCGGGGTGTGTGTATTATTGTCCCCCCCCCCATCTGTGTGTGTGTGTAAGTCGTGTTGGGTATTTTACAGTTTGTGTGTGGTGTGTACAGTTGTGTGTTTAGTGTACGTCTGGTGGTTTTATTTTAACAGTCTTGTGTGTTAGTGACGTCTTGTGGGGGTTAGTGTCAGTCTTTTGGGTATATAGTGTACAGTCTGTTGTGTGAGTTTACAGTTGTGTTTTGTTGTGGGATCATCGGTTTAGTGTACAGTTGGTGGTTAGTGTACATCGGTGTGTGTAGTGTACATTTGGGTTTTTTGTGTTATAGTGTCAGTCGGGTGTGTGTGTAGGGTACATTTTTTTGGGTTTTTTTTTTTGTGTGTTACACTGGGGTGTTTTAAAAGGTACAGTTGTGGGGTGTTTTTGTTTTTTACAGTTTGTGTGTAATAGTGTACATCGTGTGTTTTTACGTGTTTTTTTTTTTGTGTACAGTTTTTTTTTGTGGGGTTTTAGTGTACAGTTTGTGTATTAGTGAAAAGTGGGTATAGTGTACAGTCTGTGTGTGTATATAGTGTACAGTCTGTGTGTAGTGTAGTGTACAGTCTGTGTGTGTATATAGTGTACAGTCTGTGTGTGTATATAGTGTACAGTCTGTGTGTTAGTGTAAGTGGGGTTTTAAAGTGTCATTGTGTGGTTTATGTACAGTTGTGGTTTGTGTACAGTCTTTTGGTCTAGTGTACATTGTGTGTGTCTAGTGTACAGTCTGTGTGTGTTTAGTGTAAGTTGTTGTTTTTTAGTTCAGTCTGTGTGTTTAGTTACAGTCTGTGTGTGTGTAGTGTACAGTCGGGTGTTTTTAAGGTACATCTGTTGTGTATATAGTGTAAGTTGTGTGTGTGAGGAAAGTTGTGTTTTTGTGTACAGTTTTTGGTATTTTTGGTACAGCCCTTTTGTGTGAGTGTAAGTCTGTGTGTGTTTTGTTTGGTGTAAGGTTCGTTTTTGTGTTGTGTAAGTCTGTTTTTGTGTTTATAGTTACAGTTTGTGTGTTTAGGTACAGTTGTGTGTGGTGGTCATCGTGTGTTATAGGACATCTGTGGTTTAGTGTAAGGGGGGGTTTTTTGGTACAGTTGGTGGGGGTTTTAGTGTAAGTTTGGTTAGTGTACAGTCTGTGTGTGTAGTGTACAGTCTGTGTGTGTGTAGTGTACAGTCTTGGTGTGTTATGTCGTTTGTGGTGTGTTTTTTGTACATTTGGGTGTGTTTAGTTACAGTTGTGTTTTTTTTTAGGTACATTTGTGGTGTGTGTTTTTTTGGGTGTACGCGTGGTTTAGGTAGTCGGGTGTGTGTAGTGTACAGTTGGGTGTGTGAAAGTGTAATCTGGTTTTTGTTAGTGTAAGCTGTGTGTGTTTTAGTGTCAGTCTTGTGTGTAATTGGTACGTTGTGTGGGTTATAGGGACAGTCTGGTTGTGGGTTTACGTCTTGTGTTTGTGTAAGTTGGGTGTTGTTTAGTGTACAGTCTGTGTTTTGGTGTAAGTTTTTTACAGTTTTGTGTGTGTTATAGTGAACTCGTGTGTGTTTAGTGTACAGTTGGTTTATAGTGTACATTGGTGTGTGTAGTTTACAGTCTTTTGGGTATATAGTGTAAGTCTGTTTTTTTGTTTGTTTTATAGTTTTCATCTTGTTTGTAGTGTACAGTCTGTGTGTGTATTGTACAGTCTGTGTGTATATAGTGTCAGCTGTTGTTTGTATTGTACAGCTGTGTTTTAAAAGGTCAGCTGTGGGGTTTTTAAAAGTGAAACATCTTGTGTGTTAGTGTACAGTCTGTTTTGATATAGGTACAGTCTGTGGTGTATAAGGAAAAGTTTGTGTTTGTGTTAGTGACAGTTGTGTGTTGTGGTGGACTCTGGGTTGTTTTAGTGTACATCTGGTGGTGTGGTTTGTCGTTTGTGGGGTTTGTGTAGGTGTTAGGTGGTTTGTGTATATAGTGTACAGTCGTGGTGTATTAGGTCCCTCTGTGGGGTGGGGTTTTTTTAAAGTCTGGGGTGTAGGTACAGTCTGTTTTTTGTGGTTGTTTATAGTGTAAATTGTTGTGTGTGTGGGGTACAGTCTGGGGTGTTTTTAGTGTAAGTCGGGGTGTGTTGTTTAAGTAAAGTTTTTTTGTGTGTGTGTTCCGTCCGGTGTGTTTTGTGTACAGCTGTTTTTGTGAAAGTGTACAGTCTGGTGTTTTGGTGGGTGTGACAGTTGTGTGTGTGTGTGTACAGTCTGTGGAAAAGTGGGGTGTGTAGTGTACATCTTGTGTAGTGTAGTGTATAAGTCTGGTGGTGTGGTACAGTCTGGGGGGTTTATAGGTCGTCTGTGTGTGTAAAGTGTCGTTTTTGGGTGTTGGTACAGTTGTGTGTGTTATAGTTCAGTTGTGTTTGTGTGTGTCAGTCTGTGTTTTAGGGGGGTAGTGTAAGTTTTTGGTGGTTAGTGACAGTCTGGGGGTATTGAAGTTGTGTGGTGGTGTCAGTTTGTGTTTAGTGACAGCGGGGTGTGTGTAGTGTACAGTTGGTTTGGTAGTGTACATTTGTGGTGTTAGTGTAAGTCTGTGTGTTTATAGTGTACAGTCTGGTTTGGTAGTGTAAAGTCGTGTGTTTTAAGTGTCAGTCTTGTGTGTTTGTGTACGTCTGTGTTTTAGTTTTATCGGTGTTTTATATTTTTACAGTCGGGTGTTATTGTGGGGTTTTTTTGGGGTTTAGTTACAGTCTGTGTGTGTTTGTTTTTTAAAGTCTGTGGTGTGTGTGTACATTCTTTTGGGTTTGTTAGTTTTTTACAGTTGTGGGGGGTATTGTACAGTCTGTGTGTGTTAGTGACATTTTGGGGGGGTTTTTTTTTGGTTTTAGGTACAGCCCTGGTTTTATTTTGGGGCGTTTTTGTGTTTTTGTTTGTGACAGTTTGTGTGTGTTGGGTTTTTCATTGTGGTTTTTTAGGACGTCTGTGTGTGTTTTAAGTTACAGTTTGTGTGTGAGGTTTTTTTAGTGTACAGCTGTGTGTTTTAATGTACAGTCTGTGTGTGGGGGGTGGGTTTCAGTCTGTGTGTGTGTAGTGTACAGTCTGTGTGTGGTAGTGTACATTGGGGTGTTGTAGGGTACAGTTGTGGGTGTATTACAGGGGTGTGGTATTTTTTAGTGTTAATTTGTGTGGTTGGTGTAAATGTGTGTATGTTACATCTGTGTGTGTTGTGTAGTGTACAGTCGGGTTGTGTTATAGTTTACGTTGTGTGTTTTTGTTTTTCGTTTGTGTTTTGTTGTTGTGGTGTGTATGTACAGTCGGGGGTTAAGTGTAAGTTGTGGTTGGTATGTACAGTTTGTGTTTATGTTAGCTGTGTGTTAAGTGTTCGTTGGGGGTTTTATTGTTCAGTCTGTGGGGTTATAGGTTAGCGTGTGGGTTAGGTTTTAAAGAGCCTTAAAAGTTGGCGGTTTATTTGACCCCTCCAGGAGGGTTCTGATAGGCGAGCTTAAACGCCATTTCTGATGGCGGTGAAGGTGTAGGGGTGTGGGGGAGGACCCCCTGACACCCCCCTGCCTTTGTGTGGAAGGCCAGGGGCGGGGGGGGCGATAGGACACGCCCTCTCCACAGGGAAGACACACCCTCTGGGGGGAGGAGCTACATCGGACACACCCCACGCTGTAAGTCAGGTCTCCACGGCCACCGCGTTCTAAAGGCTCCGCCACTTAACGTCCCAGGGGTGTCATGACTGGGTTATGATGGGGGGTGCTGAGGGGGGGTCCTGGGGGGGAGAGGAGGGAGGGGAGGGGGGGGGGGGGGGGGGGGGGGGGGGGGAGGGGGGGGGGAGGGGGGGGGGGGAAGAGGTCAAGCCATGATTATAATTTCCTAATTGGACAGATTCCCCAAACCAGAAATGTAAAATATGTTTGACCAGTTTGTAAGTTATTTTGACCAGTAATTTTAAAGTATTTTTAAACGGTATGTAAAGAATAGTTTAAACCAGTAATGAAAAAGATATCGTTTGACCATAATGAAAGTATAGATTTTGAACGGAATGTAAAGTGAGGTTTGAAAGAAGTAAAGAAAGTTTGACCATAATGTAAAGTAAGAGTTTGAACAGTAATGTTAAAAAAAAAAAAAAAAAAAAAAAAAAAAGTATATGAGTTTTGAACCAGTAATGTAAAGTATATCGTTTGACCAGTAATGTAAAGTATAGACCATATGTAAGTTGAACAGTATGTAAGTATATGAGTTTGACCAATAATGTAAAGTATAGAGTTTGACCAATAATTTAAAGTGTAGAGTTTGAACAGTAATGTAAAGTATATTGTTTGACCAGTAATGTAAAGTATATAGTTTGACCAGTAATGTAAGTATATGAGTTTGAACAGTAGTGTAATGTATATGAGTTTGAACAGTAGTGTAAAGTATAGTGTTTGACCAGTAATGTAAGTATATGAGTTTGAACAGTAGTGTGATGTATATGAGTTTGAACAGTAGTGTAAAGTATAGTGTTTGACCAGTAATGTAAGTATATGAGTTTGAACAGTAGTGTAATGTATATGAGTTTGAACAGTAGTGTAAAGTATAGTGTTTGACCAGTAGTGTAAAGTGTATTAGCTTGAACAGTAGTGTAAAGTATATGAGTTTGAACAGTAGTGTAAAGTATATGAGCTTGAACAGTAGTGTAAAGTATATGAGTTTGAACAGTAGTGTAAAGTATATGAGCTTGAACGGTAGTGTAAAGTATATGAGTTTGAACAGTAGTGTAAAGTATAGTGTTTGACCAGTAATGTAAAGTATATGAGTTTGAACAGTAGTGTAATGTATATGAGTTTGAACAGTAGTGTAAAGTATAGTGTTTGACCAGTAGTGTAAAGTATATGAGCTTGAACAGTAGTGTAAAGTATATGAGTTTGAACAGTAGTGTAAAGTATAGTGTTTGACCAGTAATGTAAAGTGTAGTGTTTGACCAGTAATGTAAAGTATAGAGTTTGAACAGTAGTGTAATGTATATAGTTTGAACAGTAGTGTAAAGTATAGTGTTTGACCAGTAGTGTAAAGTGTAGTGTTTGACCAGTAATGTAAAGTATATGAGTTTGAACAGTAGTGTAATGTATATAGTTTGAACAGTAGTGTAAAGTATAGTGTTTGACCAGTAGTGTAAAGTATATAGTTTGACCAGTAGTGTAAAGTGTAGAGTTTGACCAGTGATGTAAAGTATATGAGTTTGAACAGTAATGTAAAGTATAGTGTTTGACCAGTAGTGTAAAGTGTAGTTTGAGCTCCATACTCTGTGAATGACAACAGCAATGTGTTCCAGTCAGAGTGCAGAGAGAGAGAGAGAAGAAGAGAAGCCCCTTAAATAGAAATTGAACTGAGGGAGGAGTGTGTGTTAAAGGGGAGTGTGTGTTAAAGGGAAGTGTGTGTTAAAGGGAAGTGTGTGTTAAAGGGAAGTGTGTGGTTAAAGGGGGTGTGTGTGTTAAAGGGGTGTGTGTGTTAAAGGGGGAGTGTGTGTTAAAGGGGAGTGTGTGTTAAAGGGGAGTGTGTGTTAAAGGGGAGTGTGGTGTGTTTAAAGGGGGTGTGTGTGTGTTAAAGGGGAGTGTGTGTTAAAGGGGAGTGTGTGTGTTAAGGGGATGTGTGTGTTAAAGGGAGTGTGTGTGTTAAAGGGGAGTGTGTGTGTTAAAGGGGTGTGTGTGTGTTAAAGGGGGGTGTGTGTGTGTTAAAGGGGTGTGTGTTAAAGGGAGTGGTGTGTTAAAGGGGAGTGGTGTAGGGGTGTGTTAAAGGGGTGTGTGTGTGTTAAAGGGGGGTGTGAGGTTTTTTAAGGGGTGTGTGTTTTAAGGGGTGTGTGTGTTAAAGGGGGTGTGTGTTAAAGGGGTGTGTGTGTTAAGGGGAGTTTTGGGGTGTGTTGTTAAAGGGTGGTTGTGTGTTAAAGGGTGGTGTTGTGTGTTAAGGGAGTGTGTGTGTTAAAGGGAGTGTGTGTGTTTAAAGGGGGTGTTGTGGTTAAA